CCAGTTTGTCCAGATCAGACTGGTTTTCCTGCTGCCATGAGAAATGCTGAGCCTTGAGGAATTTTGGTGGGCTTTAGCCGCTGGCATTGAGGAGTGAGAACCCAATCCACAGTTTTTTGCTTGAATCCTCTTTCCTCCTTGGTGGCTTCMTTGAATTAAGCAGATAATTCAGTGCACAGTCAGCTCCCCTTGGGCCTACTGCAGTGATTATTCTTTGGTGCCCTGAAGAATATTTAATTTATAGAGCTTGTCCATGAGTATTAAAAGCTCTTTGTTAACAGATCTTTAGTCCTGGGAGTGGTTTGTACAATCTGGTCTGGTCTAGGCCAGGGAATATCACTGGTGGCTTTTGGTATCCAATATTTATTTCTTCTGTGGTGCAAGGGTGTGGCTTTTGGTTGTGTCATTCAGTGTTAGGTTTTGACCAGAGCAGACTTTTGAAAGACCTTTTTTTTTTTTTTAATTTTACTTGAATTGCTGGCAGTAAATGATTTTTTTCTTTCTCTTCAGCAGAGCGAGGCTATGATCCCTACAACCCAGAGCTGCCCAGGGCCTCACTGGAGGTGGAGGATGGCGCTCTGGGTGACATTACAGATGTCACACCCGGAATTCTGGAGCTGGAGCTGGTCAACAAGGCCATCGAGGCAGTGAAGAACGAAGTGGAGAGGGAGCAGAAGAAGTACGAGGAGCTGCTGGAGACCACGAAGGAGTTGGGTGCTTCAGAGGGCTCCTCACTCATTTCAAACTCGCCCGTGGCGGCTGCTGGGCCTCCGAGCGATTCCTCCTTTGGCTCCTTGGAGTACAACCCAGGGAGCTACAACTTCAACAATAACTCAGACTACAACCCCACTCCTCTGGCTGCTGCAGGCCGCTCCAGTAAATATACTTTGGATTCGTCCCGCTCCAAAGGGAGCTCCCTGGAATATGTCCCCAAGGCTGTAGTGCAGAATAAAAAATACAGCAGCACYGTCACCAACAATAAATATGTGATTGACGACTCCAAGCCTTCCACAGACTTGGAATATGACCCCCTTTCCAATTACTCAGCCAGGCTGTTGGGCAAGGCCACAACCAAGGGCTCCAAAAGGGAAAGGGTCTCTGATTATGAGGATTCTTACTCTCCATCACGGAAAAAGCTCTGCGAGGATCCCGATGATGATGAGGTCTTGGCCAGGTTCTCCTCTTCAGAAGATGAGGCTGAGGTGGAATATAAAACAGCTTCTGGTAGTTCACCCTCCAAAGCTGGTTCTGAGAGCGAGTCCAACAACGAGCTCTCCAGCAAAGAGCAGAGCACCAAAGTGGATGGCTCTGCTTCCCAGGAGAGCAAAGACCTTCCAGGTTCACAGAAAAACCTTGCCAAGAACTCGACAGACAAGAACACAAAAGCAGCCAAGTTGTGTTCTGGTAAGAACAACATGGAAATTGAAAATAAAAACAAAGACTCCAAAGACAAAACAAAAAAGAAAAAAATAGATGTTAGTAAAACGCCAGGCCTCAGTGAGGCTGGGAAGAAGGAGAAAAATAAAAATATGGAAAAAGACAAGGTGCTTAAGAAAGAAGAAAAATTAAAAACCAAGAATGAAGAGAAAAACTGCAAAGATAAAAGCRTCAAAGTGAAAAGCGATGGGAACTTGAAGAAACCTGAAAAACAYAAGTCAGAAAAGGTGGATGGGTGTAAGAAAGAGAAGTTCAAGTCCAGYACCAGCAGTTCAGGGAAAAGCAAGRGTGAGGGTGGCACCAAAGGCACAGAAAAAGTGGGGAGCAGCAAGAAGGACTCACAGAGCAAAGCAGCCGATGTGAAAAATGGCAAGGAAAGCTCTGGTCGAAAAAACAAAGAGAAAGGGACCAAGACTTTGGTGGAGCGAAAGAAAGACAAGGTCAGTTCTGCAGGAAAAGAGGACCTGAAGAAGGGGCGGAAGCAGCGCAGTTTGAGTCACGTGGACCTGTTTGGAGATGAGAGTGGAGATGATGATGACAAAGGCCGGCCTTTGTCCTCCTCCTTATTGGATGTGAGCTCGGACTCGGATGGAGRCGACTCTGGCTCAGACTCTGAGAGTGACAAGGACAGGACAAAGAAAGTGAAGCGCTCCAAATTGTCCAAGTCATCATCATCTTCCTCCACTTCTGACGACATCGATTATTCCATCCTTGAGAAAGATGTGGACTTYGAGTCAGATCCCATGGAAGAGTGTCTCAGGATCTTTAATGAATCTAAAGATGTGAAAACTGAAGACAAGGGCAGGCTGGGGAAACAGGTACTGCTGGGCTGGGGTGGTTGGTTCTCTCCCCTCCAAAGGTGGAAGGATTGTGGGTCAGTTTAGTGGTGTTGCTTAGATCAAGTAGCTGAAGAGGGAGACTCCATGTGTTGGAATAATCTCATCCTTGTCATGACTGAGTGCTTGCAGTTGGATTTACCTGTGTTGAAAGCTGCTGTGAAATGTAAGGGTTCAGTTCTCTTTTGTGTGGAAAGCCTTCAGCGTTCAGGGTTATCAGCTRCTCCTGGCTCCATCTGGCCTGAGGACCGTGGGGATGTGGATGGATGGAGAAAAGGCTGCAGGGAGTGACTTTTYGGGAACTCAAAGCCAGCCTGAGTTTGCCAGTCTGGTCATTGCCTTCTTGTTGCTGCAAATTTCAGGAGCAAAGTGGCAGGTGGAACCTGGACAGTACATTGATGCAAGCACATCCTTGTATTTGTCACCAGGCACTTTGGGGACTCCCCACATTCCTGTTTCCTATTCTAAGTGCCTGCTGCAGATCTTAGGAGGATATTTCTCTGRGTACCTTGTGGGTGGTGCAAAGAAGAAATGGAACGTAAAATTTCTTCAGTGGTACAAGGGATTTCAGACTAAGGAGGTGAAGAGACAGTATTTACATAAAAAGACTTCTGTCGGTGACCAGTGTGGCTCCTGGAGGATGCAAAACCTTCGTTTTTGAAGATTAGAGCAGAATGGAGAACTCATGATAAGAAGGACTTTCAGGGGCTGGAGCATGTCCAGGGAAGGTACAAAGGTGGGGAAGGGTCTGGAGCACCAGGAGCGGCTGAGGGAGCTGGGAAAGGGGAGAAAAGAGAGAAAAGGGGGATCAGGGGGTACCTTGTGGCTCTGCACAACTCCCTGACAGGAGGGGGCAGCCGGGGGGGTCGGGCTCTGCTCCAGGGAACAGGGACAGGAGAGGGAACGGCCTCAGGCTGGGCCAGGGGAGGGTGAGATTGGAAATTGGGAAAATTCCTTCATGGAAAGGGCTGTGAAGCACTGGAACAACCTGCCCAGGGCAGTGATGGAATCAGGATCCCTGGAAGTGTTCCAAAAATGTGTGGATGTGGCATTTGGGATGTGGGTTGACCATGCRGTGACCATGGTGCTGATGCTGGTTGATAGTTGGACTRTATGATCTTTCAGATATTTTCCAACCTTATCAATTCCATGATTCTGTGTGTGAAATGCTGGAAAGCAGCTGCATCTAAGCAGGGAAGCAGCAACAGACAAAACTCATCCTTCAGCCTCTGATGTCCCAGTTTGACTGGGCAGCAAGACAAACCCTCCAACTGGGAGCAGCCCCTGGGCTCAGGTGGGGCTGTGTGGTTGCTGTCAGACACAGCACCCTCAGGATCTCTGGTTGGGATGGTTTTGCTGTGTAGATGTTCAGGGAATGGGATTGGAGAGAGCTTTACAGAAGTAAAAGGTGACAAATTTGCCAACATTGAGAAAACTCCCCAAACTTGTGTCTGATATTTTTCATCTGACTGCAGC